AACTGGTGTGCTTTCAAAGTCCGTCAGTGTATACAAGTAAATAATAACATCAAGACAGAAAATGGTTTTAGTGGGATGAAATTAATCATTTAGTCCTTAATGCCATATTGATTTTTCTGTCACGTGTGTATAATCTAGTATATTGCTATGATTATTACTCGCAGATTAACAATTTTGTATTTAACGCTACACAAATAATTAAACGTATTTGTATAAATGCCTGTAGGTTTCCAAAAACTTATATCATTTTTGTTTATTTCTCAGGTGAGCATCACTGCCTCGACAGTATCAATGGTTGTTTATTAAATAAAGCAATTTCTAAATATTTACATAGATATGATTGAATATTTATTGATAAAAAAACTGTAAAGAAAATCAACTGCTTCACCTCTTTAACAAAGATAGACAAATTATACATTGTGTATCATCAACAATTTAGTTTTTAGCAGCATCATATATGATGAGAATAATAGTATTTATCAAAGCTTTTCATAATGAGATGTCCCTGCCTTTTATTTGGTAAAAAAAACTTTGAAGAAGAAATAAAAAACAAATCCTAAGCATACCAAGATTAAGCAATGAATACTGTACATTAACTGATGATACGACACTGAAACTTTTTTAAATTGATGCTTTTGATCTACCCTAAGCTTCCAATGTTTTTTGCAGCTTCTGATACCACAAGTAATTACCTTTGTACCTAATCCTTCTCAAATACCCAGTACCAAGTACTATGTGTACCAAATAGATTTTGCCCTATCATTCAATCTAGGATGCATCCAAGTTACAAAAAAACATATTCCTTTGAATTCAAACAGTTTCCAGTGAAATATCAACCTCAATCTCATTTCTCTGGCATTAAATTTCGCGCAACTGGTATAAATATTAAGTACGCGCGGTGTAAAAATGGTGCATTTTCTATTTCCAACAAAACTTTTATTATAAACACGCATATATGATAAATATCTTTGAAAACATTTAACATCATGAAACAGAAGAAAAAAGACATCATTTTATTATAAAGCACATATCCACCAATCACTATGCGTGTCAATCAGCGAGGTCCACTTAGGATCAATCTATATAAAAAAGCAAAACAATCTGACATTTAAAACTGTTTATCAGGGTAAAATGACATTACCGAAGAACATTAAAATATCGACAGTATTGTATTTTACCTAAAACATTTGCACCTAGAGCGGCAAGTTTTATAAATGAAAAAACACTGTGCATTATGTTTAAACATTTTCTTGGATGTTGTGTAATTTCTAAAATAAAAATAAATTCAACATGAAATCTCGCTTTGAAATACAGAAATATCATGTTCAACTATTTCAAACCATTGTTCTTTTTACCAGGACCATACGATCCGACACATTATATCTTTAAATGAGCACATGTGCGCCAACTAATGATATGCACACAGTAATGGAGCTATTTACCAGGCAGCAACTTTTATATTTCACACATGCCTGTCGTGACATAAAACAATGAAATTACAAAATATGACGCGAGCACGGCAGAGTATCATTGTAGTATAATTTTACTTATGCATCATCAAACAGGGATTTAATATACCGAAGCGCTCTCGTGCCATTCTATATTGTTCAATAGAAAGGATAACTCATACTCAAGGATATTTTTAAAAAAGCCTTATTAGAAATGTATAACTCCTACGTCCGAACTAATTATTCCTACGTAAAAGATAAAAGCCTTATTAGGTGTTTACAACTTCTACATAGGACTAGAACTCCTACGTAGGACTTAATTAGTGATTATCATTCATTATGAAGATTTTTTCATTCCTGAAAATACAAAACAAAAATTAAAAATAAAATTTTTAATAAGTATCAGTAAAATCTAAATGGACGAACAAAAAGACACAAATAATAATACTAACCAAAATAAAATCGATTCCACTTTTATTCTTTATTTGTCAAATATTTGACAATAATTGACAGCATGCAAAGGTTTTGTAATCAAAATATAACATTTCATATCTACCTTAAAATTAAGAATCATGACATCATAAAATTTAAAATGATCATTTCATACATCATTTTATCATTCCATTAATTATTTATTAGTTTTGTTTACTTTTTTCTGCCAACTGAATGTGACTTTCGATTAAGATGAAAACAACAAAGTGTAAATTATGACTACATTTTGGTGCGTTTCTTTATTAAAGCTGTGTGCAACATACTGTAGTAACAACTGTGAAGAGATTAAGTTGATTCATTAAGAGAAGGTATGTCAATGATAAAGAAGATATTTAACTGAATTCACCGAGATAAAGATTAGCAAATGGAAAAAGTTTTCAAGAAAAGCTTAAGATGAGCCAAACATTTTTTTAGCCAGCATGAGAAAATCCACGTTGTGTTAAGAACATGATAATTTTTCTACTTAGAATGTAAATGATGTATTTTGTTGACCTTAATGTTTTCCCTGCTTACTTCTACCCGTTATGAAGGAAAATTATTTTGAAATTAGTAGCTCTTCAATGCTTATTAATGTTAAATTTTTAAAGCATACACTACTTAAGATGCTAATTTTGTAAAACTTTACATTAAAGGGAGACACGGGCATTTTTTTAATTTTTCATTCAATATTATGTAAATGTCCTCAAAATAAATACACTAGGAAGTCACAGGAACATAACATTTTTTTTAAAGAATAAAATGGTGGTTTTCTAACTTGACCCACATGGGTAAGGTAAGAGGGTTAAGATTTCACAATAGTGAAACAATGTAATCTGGAAACGTTAATTTAAAAGAACATGTCAAATGAATGACTTAGACTTGTTTTAATCATACAATATCCACAATATATCTGATATTTTAACTTCTAGGCTTTGTTCAAGTCATATGACTTGTTTTAAAGCTACTCGGTGATTCTGTCGGCGTCTAAATTCCATTCAACATATATATAGATATTTACGCGTCAAACCCAAAATATATAGAATTGATACAGAAATTCATGCTGGGACTTTAAAAAATGTCATTTTAAGCATGATTTGAGTACATATTTCATTTTAATATTTTTGTCATTAATTTGCCTGAGTATCCTTTTAATATAAGTTGACATCGGCGTCAAATTCAAACCATTTTGTGTAAACTTGTTACTTACATGTTACTCTCTAGAGAAGGAAACCATGAATTTATAACGTTTAAGGGTGGTTTAAGGGCAGTTTATATGCTTATTACCTGAAGAAAGTGATTTGAATGTGATATTGTTTGTTATAAAATTAGCAAATTGTGAAACAAACAGTTTTTTTTAATTTCCATTAAAATACTAGATCACATACTATCTTACTTTTTACCAAAATGCAACAGAAGCAAAGGATGTAATTGGTGTTCAGGTAATTGGTCTTGACTTGTGTTTGTGGTAACTTTAACAGGACACAAAATATAAAGAATGAAACATGTGAAAAATGAAAGCATTTCTGGGCCATAATTGGAGAATTAATTAAGCATATAATATAAGATTAAAATAATTCAATCAATTCTTCAACTGTTGACGAAGCATAGATTTTAAATAATCGCTATAACATGTGTTTCACTGATGAATATCATCTATGGTTAACATTTACACTTATATTTTATCTTAAAAAGTCAAAATAACTATAACGTTGACATTTAGTTTTATTTTCGAACAAATAGTTCGTACAATTTTTGAAATATCTTAAAGGTGCAAGTTTTAACACATCAGTTATCTGATTTTTTTCCCAAGACAAATCAGTTTGACATAATGAATTGGGTTAATAAATATATTGATAATCAGAGATGGAGGTCAGAGAAATCTTATTACTTTGTTTTGTTCTGGAAAAAATCTTAAGTAAGTAGCACGTGTCCGCCTTATGCAATAGGATACTTCTTTTTTATTTTCTAATAACTTTGAAATGCTTTCATTCATAAAGACTGAAAATGTTTTTGTTTTAATTAATATTTTGAATTATTGAAATTTAAATTTTTCATGAAGGTTGTAGCATCTCTGTCTTGTGTCATAAGAATTGAAAAAAAAATACATAATCATTTTAACAGATTTTTGTTCTTACGTTTAATGTTTATTTTGATAATTGTTAACGAAAAATATTTTATAGAAAGTCTTATTGAGTATGTTTAAATTGTTTCATATTTCATAAGCCGTTTATAGTATCATTATTAACCCAAACCTCAATGTCAACCTGTAAACCAGCATTATAAGAACAAAACTATACACGCACGTTGTTACTTTTCAGACAAAGTATAAAAGCTTCCAATTTAAATATACTTCAGCATTAAATATATTATTATTCGTTGAATGATAAAACAAATCAAATACCACACTATCATTTTAATGTTTTAAACTGTACAGCGTCGATAAAATTTTAGTTTATCGCAAACTTAAAACCTCCTAACATAGGGGAGCGCAATATTCTTTAACAAAACATAGGCTATAATGTTTTACTTGACGCCACTTCGCTTACAGTTAATGCATCGATTGAATTCTTTATATCTGAAATTGTTTTAATGTAAACATTGATCGATAAAAACGTTATTTCCTGCTATATTTATGAAACATTTAAATTACATAACCTCTTGAGAGTTGACAAACAACCTTACACTAACAGAATAGAATTTGTAACTGTTATCAATTTATAAGAATGTAATGCGTTTATTATGTTATTGTAGTGGTGTATGCTTTTAAGATTCTTATTTATGAATATCAAGCAGCCAAAGTATCAATTTAAATATCATTTTCTTTCCTTATCAGTGGTAACAAACATAAAAAACATATATAAATTAATGATATAAGAATAAATGAAGAAAATCTGTTAAAATTGCACTTGGATGTGTCTATAGTAAAATGACTGGTTAATCGGGAGGATGGTTATTGATAATACTTTAAAAGTTGAAGAGAGTTGAAAACTACTAAATCCGGTGTTACGAGGCGTCCGAGCTATCGCAATTTACATTATTGATCAGGATCCATGTTGTTCGCTTACAAACCCTATTAAGTAAAGAAACTGATAGCGAACATCATAAGCCCTGATCAGACTACGTGGATGCGGCTGGTGTAGATCCATGCTGGTCGCATATGCACTATGTTGGTTTTGTCATGTCGCGGATCGTATCCCTATTTCGAGAAAATATTCAATGATTGTTACAGGAGAAAGAAATATGTTTTACAAGTATTTACACTGTGAACATAGGTCAAAAGCAGACGACCTGAAGACAATCGCGCATATGACTTTACCTACAGTTTCAGCAAATATTTGGTTGTTACGTGTACCAGGTGTTTTATCAACAGTGGAAGTTTAAATACGATTGCTTGGGTGTGTGTTTATGATATAGCGGTTTTGACCATTGTTCCATTGCAATGCGATTTTTGTTGTGTCGCTTCTTTTTATCTTGCAAAGTTGTATTGGTGCATTATAGTTGCAAACAGTAAACTTCAATCTGTCATCATTCAAGAACCATAAGAATAAGAATGCAAGTGATATACTTCTAACTGACTGTATTTTTTTTTATTTTAAATGCGGCTGATATAAAACTAGCATTTTAAATGGTTGATTATCGAATCCTGTGGAGATATAAAACCATCACTGAAGCCGCAAAACATCAAATCATTTGATCGACAGACAGCGTATGTGTAAGCACGGAATAATCGGATATACTATTATTACAGGTATTGTAAGCGGCGTAAGTCATTTTTAAATATTTATATATTTGCTTGATTATCAACATAATATTGCGCGTTTTAAATCTTGTTTTTTTCGGGGGCTTTATTTTTATTCATTTATTCTGTTTTAGTGTTTTTGTTCGTTTTTTTTTGTTTGTTTGCTTTTTTGTTGTTTTTTTTTGTGCATTTTCGTTTTTAATATGTTACTGAAATTATAATAATGTTCATATTTTGTTTTATGCTTTTTAATTGGACAGTGAAATTATATTTTGAGATTTTCTCATTTGAATTTGTCAAAATAATATATTCGCTGTATGCGGAATATATTTGAAAGCAGGTGAGAAAATTGTCATAAATAAGTACTAATTTGTCTGATATATACATCGTCATACGTCAAATTGGCTTGGTTATAAAACGCACAGAAACTCTGCACTTATCATGTAAAATAATTATTTAACATTAGTGAAATATAATATAATTATTTCTTTCAATATGAACAATTTTGGCATCGTGATTTGATAATGATATGAATGAAAATACATATCGTTATGGGACAATACTGTGTAAAAATGACTTAAAGCCACAAAAAGCATGAAATCAACAGAAAACTTATTTCTTTTTTTTTTGAAGGATCAAATATTATTTCACACCTTGTAAAATATAACCAATGCATTGTCAGCATTTGCATAACGTGATATTCAAACGAAATAAATAAATGAAATGAATATAATCTTATTAAACCAGCCCCGTGTTCATTTCTGGAAGGCAAATAATGCCATATTTAATCCATATCACACCCTATATAGCATTGGTCCAAAAAGTTCATATCAAATCCATATCGCAACCCATCTAGCTTTTTTTACTTTTTTTTTTTTCTTTTAGAATCCAAAATCAACATCAAAATCCTTATTTATTTTGATATAGCATAGTTCTGTCCAAATGCCAAAAATGACGATGTTGAATAAAGATATCATTAAAAATGGATGCGAACAATTATGATTCTTTTGGCGCCTAGCGCCTCGTCCAATATAGTTTTGACAGCTGTGTACCGGTCCAAAACCCGAAATCAGTTCTATACTTAACAATTTATAATAACCACATAATATTTCTCTAGAGAACACCAGCTCTTATATTTTCACTTTTGGCTATGCTTCTAATGAAAATACTACACCTTATGTTCATTTTTTATAATATCTTACATATATGTCAAGCAAATATACTCTATTTTTCATCTTTAATAGGATTTTACGGATATAAATTAAAAATAAAAGTTTTAAAATATCGGAAAGGACATCGCGCATTGAAGTTATATGTAAATTCGATAAGCTATCGAAACGTGTGAAGGAATAAATAATGACATATTTGTCTTTGCATATCAAGAATCAAATTAAGCTGTTTCTTATATGATTATGTTATTTATGCATTTTATTTAAAAGATTGTTATATGATAGAAAATAACATCTCATTATCGAAATTTGTTTCGATAATCTTCAAGTAAAAATAAACAAGAACTTAATAAGGAAAATAAGTTATAAACTTTATTTGCCCTGAGTGAAATATTTTAAAATGCAGACATATGACGAACAGATAGCAAATTCTATATTTCGAATAAAACATGTATTTGCTACTTTTCGCTCTAAGTGGACACTTATGCATGTATATTCATGTAGTCATTTGAGTTTATTTGAATTAAATGTATTTTTAATTAAACTTGAAGTTGCAGGAAATTGTATTCATCATTGATATATCCCTACCCAGACCTTTACTTTGAATAATAAAACATGTTACCACAAACATGGACATGTGCTTTTTTGTTAACAAACATGTTGCGATTGAATTTTTATTGTATCCACCAATATGATAAATAGAATTAAACTGGTCAAGGATCTATTGAAATAAACTTTGTTATAAAATATTCTGTTTCTAAATCAATGTTTAATAATGAATAATTTGTAAAATAAATATTATACTAAATGTGCTATACTTCAAATTTCAAACAGTTTGAAATAGTCTTAATTGCTATATAATCTATTGATTTTTGACAAAAAATTTTAAAATTTGATCTAAATCTTGGCGTTTCATCAAAGTCTTGAAATGTATTAGTTTTACTGTTTGGAATTAATTGATATTATGTTCTGAAAAATTCATTTATTACGTTTGCTGTAAATAGTTTTGTTTTATCTTTTTTATATTTAATTTTATTTATTTATTTATTTATTTTATTTTAATTTTTTAGAAAAGTTTGATTTTAACAATGAGTTTTTTTATTTTAGTGAATTTATCATCTTTTTTCCTTTTTTCACTCGTCAACTGATTTTCTTCACAATGGTTAACTGTTAAACCTTTTTAATAAGTTAAGGAGGGGACTTGCTAAATTTGTTGCACAATAATATATTATACTTTCTTGAAGGTAGATATACAATATTCTCGTAACAAATTTCACATAATAATATTTATTATATACTTTTAGATGAAATATTGAGAAATATTGATGAAATAAAATGCCTATTTTCATTTTCCGTATTTTCACTGTAAAAATTTATTTTTCACTGCAGTGAAACATATTTTCCGTATTTTCACTGGTGTTTTGCCGAACTACTTTCTTATAAATTCTGCCAGTACTCAAAATTTAAGGGAAAGTCTTTCAAATTTTAATGTCCAAAAAGAGAAAAATAAAATGTATATAATTAACAGAAAATTCAATTTTTTGTCTGTAAATACATGATTTATTTACATCTTGTGGCATGAAAGTTACCATATTTCACTCATGAAATATTTGTTTTCATACCACTCGATGAAAATAAATCATGTATTTATTGAAAAAACTTGAATATCCACTATTGATTAAAAAGTTATTGAATTCTGATATGTATATCAAATAGAAAAAAACAAAATCCCTAAAGAAAATAGAACACAACAATATGTTAAATGTTGCAGGCTCGGTTTGATTGAGCCTGTTCATGGACAGTACTGGAATATGCAAGTTACCGTCCACGCCCCCTAGCACCGGCTTAAGCAGAATTCAACATTTAACACAAAACATGGTGAAATTTGGAATTTAGAGATATCCACAGATGTGTTCATACGGCGGTTATCGTGGAACCTTCAATGTAACACAGTAGTGCCATTCCATGAAAAGCGGCGTACGGTCCCCAAGTAGAAGAAAGCTTTTGCCCTAAACGAGAAAACAATGGGCGAAACTAGATAAAATAGATCTATATAATATAAACCTATTAGTTGTGCAAAAGGAAAACAGCTACTGATTAATTCTAATTAATATTGATTTTTTTTTTTGTTCTCTTTTTATATTTATTTCATTTTAAAAGATATGAATAAGATTCAAATTTTATTTCATATTTTTATTGCGTCTTCAGGTTTAATAGATACGTCATGATGGACAGTTACGGGTCTTTAAATGGCAGTGCAAATTTTAGTTTGCAATCAATGCACGGACAAGATAGTAATTCATCGGGACAATCAACAAAAGATTGGTATGACCTTTATAACGAAGAATATAATGAATTAGACAATACGTATACGGTATCTGACGTGGATGTGATTTCCATTGTTCTTTGTATTTTAGGCATCATTGCAAACATTGTGTCTATTAATATGGTAATACGATTACATCAGAAGTTGTCCACACATTTAAAACTGATCATTAGTTTATGTTGCTCAGACTGTTTAATCCTGATTCCAACTTTTCTCAGCAAAGTATTTCTCATGACACATGAAATAAATCTTTGCTTTAATGTTGCTGTGCGACTGGTAACAGACCTGGCTCTATTAGCAACATTGTTGAATCTTCTTGCAATCGCAGTGGATCATTATCTGGCCATACTCAGACCGTTGATGTATAAAAAGCAAATGACAAGTATTCGTGGTATAACCGTTGTGTTGGTGATTTGGTTCGTGAGTGTTTTAGCAATTGCTGTTGAAATAATTATGGGTATTGCACACCAACGAGAACAGGAAACTCTGTGTCAGGTAATTGCGTATGATAAAGTAAATTCTGAGCTTGGAATAGTGACTTTTATCTTTCTCGTTTTATTAGTGATTTTTGTGATTTATGGTAGGATCTACATATGTGTTGTCAGAAACAGGTCTATACATAGAAAGACGAGACATAGGCAGAACGAAACAAGTAACATTAAGGCCTTAGTAACGACATCTCTCTTCGTGTTGACGTTTGTATTCTTCTGGACGCCGATTGGAATATTCAACGTTTACTTATACAACAAAGATATCATGTATATCTTGAACAATCTAGAGGGAATCGAACAGACTGGTGATATTTTGTATGTAATTTTGATTTTAAATGCTATAGCTGACCCAATCATCTACACGTTTCGTTTGCCTCAAATACACAGAAAATGTTTTATATTTCGTACAACAATGAGGAGACAGTCTACTAAAACGAGTACATTGACATCTGAATTGCAAGATTTGAAGAAGCCCCTAAGGTGATAAAATCAAAGGCTTATTGCTGCTTTATCGCTGTCGTTCAAACTGGTTGAGTGTCATTTATCGTAATACTATATGAATTTGATATAATTATTATAATGCATTTGATTTATTTATAATTTATTTATTTTTTTATCTATTCATTTATTTACTGTTATTATTAATTCATTCATTCACTCATTTATTTTTTATTTATTTATTTATTTATTTATTTATTTATTTATTTATTTATTTATTTATTTATTTATTTATTTATTTATTTATTTATTCACTTTTGTTCTATTATATATGGGAAAACAGTGTTAAGATTGATATGTGTACAGAGATGGTTTAATGAATCTTACTGGAATATTATTAATTGAAAAGAGTTATCTTCACGTTTGAACATCAATCCTTAATTTTACTTAAATTTGGTCATAGCTTCGGTTCAGTTAAATTAAGACATTTACGAGATACTTTTTAGTAATGACAGATATAAAGAGAAATAAAATAATTATATACATACAGTATACTTTCTACACACACTTATTGTTCTTATTATTTTAACTGTCAGACGTTTTGCTATTATAGTTTGATCAGTGTATAAAAATGTCGTCGTTATATTGATTTTCAAATTTTATATATTTATGTTACTTTTCAAAAATGTTCATGTTCACAAGTATAAGTGGGTTTTTACCCTCATAATTATAACATGTACTTTCTCATTTGTCAGTTTCTCTGTTAAAAATTAAAATTCGTCCATGACACCATAACATCATGATGTGTTTGTAACTGTCAGTTCTACTAAATTAATGATCATTTGTCAGCAATAAAATTTCAGAATTCACACTGTGATTATTCTCCTTAATACGATTATGAGCAATAAAGTTATGTTTTTAAAAACATTGAAATACTTCATGTGATAGTAAACATATATATATACTTTGCTTAAAAAAGAAAGCATATACAGTTCATTATTATTACTGTTCTCTTATTGTTTAAACTTTGTATGTTACCTTCTTCTCTAAAAAAATATGTTGTGCTTTTTGTAGCTGCATTATCAAATATAATTAAACTTCCATGATATAGCTGTCACACAGAAGTAAAATCAATACAAACTTGTATGTGATTGTAAATATGTTCATTATTTGATGATTTACATGTTTTGCCATTATATTGTACCTCAATACAGTTATCGTCTCCTTGTTTTTTTCACCATATGTGTGACATTTTTTTTGCAAATAATAATCGTTTTTCATATAAAAATAATTCCTTACATAATAGAGAAAGCGGAATCCCTAAATAACCCCCAAAACGACAAAATTGAAAATGTTTAAGGCTCAGTTTGATCGAGCAAGTTCATGGACGGTACTGAAAAGTGCAAGTTACCGTCCATATTCCAGCTTAAGCAGAATTCAACATTAAAAACTAACTGGTAAAATTTTGAATTTTTATGTTACACGTCAGTGCCATTCCGTGAGAACCGGCATGTGGTTCCCAAGAAAAAAATGGTTGTGCTTCTTAAAACTTTGAATATGAACCACACTGTATAATGATAACTTTTTTAAAATCTGGCCCTGACAGTATACTGCATCTCGTATTCTTAACAAATTATTGTCATACAACGTTATAGGAATGTAAATAACTTTTGTAATTAATAATTGTAACTGGTGTTTCAAACTTGTTTGCATACATATATATATATAGTTTATATGATTGTTAACTCTAAGCTATGATATATGCTTATAGATATACATAGGTTACATACGGATGACAAACAAGTTAAAGAAATTTAGCTTATATGCGCTTGTAAATATGTATATTATTAAATGGTTGTCATGATTTTGTCAATCATTTTGTGTCTTATTCAAATTATTTTACTTTGATCAATATTGTCATAATAGCTGTAACTTACATGTGTAATCACATTTTTATTTTTACTGTTCATATAGAAATAACTCCTTATGGAATATAAATGAATGGTTTGTTCACACTTCAAATATGTACGAGGTAGCTTCCAGAAGATTGCACAAAAACTACATGATACAACAAATCGTCATAGTGTTTTGAAATGTACTCTTAAGAGTTGCTGCGTGACCAAGTCGTTTGACTAGTAATTTTAGGATTGATGACCGTGTGGATTGAAACCCCGTCGGGTGCAAACCGTTATTTCCACGAGAAAGAAACTTTATACTCATTGCTTAGTACTGGTTGGTTCCAGGAACTGGACGTCAAACTGATTCCAAGAAATACTCACTCGGCTTGAAAGCTGTAATTGCATTAATTTCGTTCTTGACAAAGCGTGGACACCCAGCGTGTTGTTTATAATTAAAGAATGTCCTTTTTGTAGAACTTTTATTGATCAATGTTTTGTCTTATACGTATCAGACGTTTGCTTTGTCCATTATTTATTTTCTAGTAAATTCTTATCTATACTTGATAATGTAAATATTGTAAATATTTGATAATACTTTGTTTAAATGCATTGTCTTAGTTTATATTAAACACGCAATTAACTTTTTTTGTAAATAACCTTTGCAACTGATAGAAAGTAACCTTGTATAAAGTATATTATGATAAGATCACGAGGTCAACTTTTATTTACAAGATTTTTGTTCTCTTAGGTCTATTTATTTCTAGATTTTTCAAAGTATCTATTATTTTGTCCTTCTTATGTTTTTACTTTAACTCTCCACCCTTTCTACCTATGATCATATTTGATACAGCTTCATTTTTGCAACTGCTTTTACGATGCAGATTATATTAAAGTTAATTTACATGAAGGCTTCTTCCCTACAAAACTGCGAATTCAATGTACTGCAATTTACCTGACTGTAAAACATATTTTATCCTCGTTCCCTTTGTATAAGTGCCTAAATAGTAACAACTAGTCACTGTTTGCATTCAGAAAAGAACGCTTTAACGATTCGCAAAACTACGACATTAACGATTCTAAGAAAAGGATTCTGAAGCGTTCCTAGATACTAAAAATATCATTAGTTTAAAATAGCGTTCAGTGCTTCATCACTGAAAGCAAAATATTAAAATAATTCAGTCCCATACGAAAACGCCTTTCTTGGCATTATTCTTTTCTATTTTGCTGTTTTGCTGTTTCAAAGCCTTGTCTATCCTTTTTTGTCAGATTTTTAATTGAAATATTTTAAAGTCGATCACCAAGAATTCGTATAATTTAGATTTTGAAAATCATTATGTAAAGCAATTTGTATATATGTTTTAGAATCATTGTTTTTCAAATACTTTGAAATTTATATTGAAAAAGTATGCATTGAAAATCTTGTTGAAAAGGTTGATTGAAGTCCTTTCTTTGCGATTACTTATTGCATTTTCTTTTAGGGATTCTTTTATTTTAGAATATTTTTATATTGTCTTCAGAGATACTTATTTAAAGTAGATATTCTTTTTCATCGAGAAATAAAAATGTTTTGATGTTGTCTTGTTTTCATTTACTGTAATGAAATATGAAAATACCAATTTAAGATATTTTGCCTCTGTTTTACGTTTTGCCTCGTTCAGTACGTGGTCGGCTAGTTACACAGAAAAACTAGTAGAACTGCCACAATCATACACGAACACATTTCTACGTCAAACTTGATCTCTGGAATTCAATAATTTTTAACCGTTTAAAACGGAATTTAGTACAGAGCGATAAAGAATGAGCGATTGCTATGCCTAAGACCAAATAATAATGCTCCGGAAATAACCGATTTTCTATGATATTTAATGTTAGAATTTATGGCGGAAAACAATAACAGTAGGACTATCTAAACATTTTTAATTCAGTCCCTGTTATTCATTTCTTGTTACCATTAGTTATATTATCGTTCTTTTTGAAAATGATTCGAGCAAGGTTCTGATGTATCAGTGTAAAGCTATAAGCATTTTATTTTAATTTTGATTAAGCATTCTTAAACAAAGTTAAGATACAATGAATTTGTTTGTAACTAATGTACAGTTTTGCGGTGATGACGATAAACAAATGCGAACGTGTACATGCAAATAAAGTGAATTAGACCGTGATAAGATGAGCCGCAGAATTTAAAACACGTTTTGTCAAAACAATTTGTCGCTGAAATAGAGTCCGCAGAAATAAAAACATTCCAAAATTTGGAAAAACCGCATAATTTGGAACCAGCAGAAAAAGAAAACGGTAATCAATCATGATCACTTAATTATGATTGCTAGAATATAACAGAATTTAGTGTTCCAATGTGCGCATGATACTTTCCTAATAGCTATGGGTAATTTTAACGAGAAGAATTGTTCTCTTTAACGGTAATATAAACCGATTGAAAACCGTCTGTAGGCAAAAACAGTTCTCTCTAATTTCCTTTATTGCATTGTAATGATTACGTATATATGTTTAAAAGGGTAATAATTTACACCTGTTTCGAACATGTCGTTATTATTCTATCTTTGTCTTTATCTTACACTTTCCTTTTTCTTAGTTTAGAAACAATTGATAACGTTGAACACGCTTTGGCATGAAGCAATACATAAGTATTTGGCTTGTAACACCGGAAACTGTAGAAATTCAAAGGTGTTGCTGGATTTCTCTGAGGTATTCCAAATTAAATAGAATACTTATGCTTTCTGCGCAGGAAAATCCATTGTAATATTGTTGTTTTGACGATTACAATGCTAATCTGTTAATATGTACGTTTGTTTGTTTGTCTTTGTATAAATTGTTTTTGTTTACTTTTCTTTTTTTGTGTTGCTGTTGTTGTATTGTTTTTGTTTGATGTTTTTTTGGGTTTTTTTTACCAATTGTTCCAATGTTCTAAATATCATGAATAAATATTCATTCATATCTTTTAAAGGATAAAATATCATTGAATTAAATAAGACTATTGCCATATTCTCTTTATTATTTTGTTTTGTTTGTTTCCTGTTGTTGTTTGTTTTTAAATGATAATTTCTTCATCGTTATTGTTGTTATTATTTTTAAAGTAACCGCCGTTGTTTTCCTCTATATTAGCATTATAATCGTCGCCGTCTTCGTCTGGCACGATCGTAACTCATTGGTCAGAATATCCCGGGCGGCTTAGTTTTCTTGCTGCTTCATCACTCGCTGTTTTTGGCATTTGAACATAATAAAGACTTATTGACACGGTTGTAATGTTATAACGTATATTAAAGACGTTTTGCTACGACCATGTTGGTAAAATAGGCGAAAAAGGACGCCCTTTCAAACGACTTAGTCTTACCTACGACCGGGC